AAGAATTAATGGTATATTTCTATGAACTCTTAGTTTGTGTGCAACAATTAATACTAGACGAATTAATACAAATTTTTGTGTGTGACAGTTTAGATGTTAGGCGGGTCAGCACGTCATACTGTGAAAGTAAAATATGCTTAGTTAATTATACTAATAAATGGTGTTACTTAACAATTTGATGATTAAAATGTATGAATTTGAAAGGATAAATTAGTGAGATGGTGTGTGAATTGTTGATTACAAAAATCATTATGATCACAACCATGCATTTCATAAATATATTAGGAAAATGCTATAAGTACATAGTACTATACATAGAGGTGTACATAACACACATTAAGTGGGTCCTACCAAAAATAAAAAATCAAGTGGACCCCACTCATGTGAGTGTTATGTACAACTCTATGTACATAATAACTTGTAGCATTTTTCAAACTATTAACATAGGATATTGTTTAGCTAATATTAAAGGCATGAAGTGAATGATATAAAGTAAATATGCATTAATAATACTTTTTAGGATAAAAATAATATGAGATAATATTTTAGATTTTTACTTTTTAGCATATTTGTCTCACATAAGTTTGAAAAATCTACATTGAAAAAATAAATATAAAACGGGTTTAAAAAACTATTTATAATTTTGATTTTAAATTAAAACAATATGTACTTTCTCCTCACTTTCACATTTTTTGTACTCTTTTATCTCAAGGTTAAGGTGCAAGAAAGAGTAATGTTTCTATGAACCTTAGAAGATATAAATTTGAGTGCAATAATACATTTTTCGAGTTCTCTATTACCATTAGGCAGACATACTTTTATCATAAATATACTTTCGTTAACAAAAATATATTCTAATAAAGGCCAAGTCAAATTCAACCCTCAAATAATATCTCATGAAAACCTCATGTATTCCAAGAAATTATTATGATGCAAATAATTATGAAAAAAAAAAAGAACAAAAAATAAAAATCCCGAATGTTTATTCTTCGGTAACTACAGAAATTTCACCTTTATCTAACAGGTCGTAAAATGCCCTGATCCTCCGTTGCTCGTTCCAATGCAATTCCGATTACTATCTCCTCAACCACATTAGGTCCCTTCATTTTCCGGCTAAATTTTCCTGCAATTGATACTCTCATTATAAACTTTCATGCGCAAAAACCGGTTTTCATAAAATTGAGAAAACAGGCACTCTGTGAGAAGATAAATTCAGTTAGCACCAAATAAACAAGTTGTATCTTTCAAAAGATACATATCTTGGATAGAATAAGCATGGCAAACAAAAGAGTTATAGTTATTCTTTTAGAAAGGGAAAGTGTGTTAGACAAAAGTACAAAACATAGGTAAATGCTACAAATCCTAAAGTTTAATTTGAAAACAATATGAGCAAGTTCATTAGTTAGGATTTATGGATTCGAATTAAATCTCCAAATACTTCCACCAGAACAGAATAATTAAAGGTAACATTTTACATCAAGCACGTTCATAACCCACGATCCAAAAGTGCTGCAAAATGTATTTGTTATACAGATTTTCGAATATTTACACACTACAAAAAAAATCTGTCTAAACAACATGTTTATGTAGAATCTGTATTGCCGAATCTTGTTCAATTTGCCAGAAGCAAATGTTATAGAAAAATTTAAGGTTCACTCTTCACAAACATTTATCAGCATTCTCGACAGAGAAGAAAATGGGGCCGATCGAGAAACTGCGAACCGAAAAACAGTTCAAGAATCAGATGAGCTGCATTTTATAAGATTTCACAAAATTTAGAATCCATATTACCAAAATCTTGTTTATATTTGTCAGTAACAGATACCAACCAGCACCTCATAAGATTAAGCAAATCCTGTGCAAGCTCAAACAACAGCCAAAAAGTTAGACCCCCCAAAATAAATTCGATTTATTTCACAACATAAAAATCACATCTTTCGCCCGCAAAAATGGTGTATAATAAAAAATCAAACAACAACGAAGCTCCAGCAAAAGCAGAACCCATTTCAAAATTTCATCAAAATCGTGCAAAAAGCATAATCATAATCAAGGATTTAAACTGAAAATGAAAAAAGGAGAATCTTTTACCTGTTACAAAAGCTGGCAATTGAGAAATTCAGTAAAATGAAAAGGGGGAAAAGAGAAAACGTGTAACAAGCTAACAGAAGATCTTACTCAAATCCGAAAAGCTTTCGATTGATACGTAGAACCTGCACAAGTCGAGCATGAAAAAGAAAGGAAATAAAAAGATGCAATTTAACAGATAAATGCAAATACAAGAGCTTGAAGGGCTCAAAGAGAGACTACTGCGAAATTCTCAAGACTGGTAAAGTGGTAATTCAATAACAAAGTATAAGTTGGTAAGAAAATATATAAAAATTAAAAAGTTGTTATTAGCCCAATGCAATATATCTACCTTAGCTAATTTAGAGGGCTGATAGTAAAATTTGATAAGTTGAAAAATTAAGAGATTTATTTTTATTTATTTTTTTNATATAAACTTAATTTTTTTAAAAAAAGTTGTCTTATCAAACCAAATTTATTTGAGTACATAAAACTCTAATCAAATAAGTTATACAATAAGTTATAAGTTAGCTTATGATGATTATCAAACACATTATTTAAATATTAATTAACCAACATAAAGTATACATATTATTAAAACAAATTAAGATGTATGTTGACTGTTGTTTTATAAATATTTATTAAAACAACATATATGTATTAAGTCTTAATAGCTAAATCTACAAGACAGTTATATTTGAACTATTAACATTGATTTTCCTATTTTTGAAACATCCCACATGACTATTTTGTGCTTCTCAAATTCACTTCTAAAGATTTTCAGTAGAAATGTTTTCAATCCAACCACAAGAAAATCTTGATGTAAAAAAAAATAAATAAATAAATAAATAAATAAATAAATAAATTAAAAAATCTTGCCTTATAACAGACCACAAAGGAAAAAGATATAATTTTCAAGTTTCAAAACAAGTAAAGATTAACTTAACCAATCATGATAAGTTGAGGCAGTAGGGGAAAAGCCAAAATACAAAAGATCCAAAACACCAATTCTAACATAATCATACATCAACAAATGACAACTACACAAATTACAAACTACACAAGATTCAAGTCCACTTGCTAAACTGTCCTGCAACTTCTATTACTACACACTTCAAAGCAAACTCCACCCTAAGATCAACTTCCATCAAACTGAAACGAACGGCTGCAGATGTACCTATAAAGTTTGCAAATCGAACAAAGTTAGATGAAAAAAACAAGGATGTGTTATGGAAGAAATTGAGCAAGAAAATCAAAGCCCATCAAAGCATTAATGACCAAACTTGAGAGAATGTCGAACAGTAACCACAATCGGGTTCATTTCCCTCTTGTGAAGAGTAAAGAGGCTAAACTTGCTAAGCAAGACAAAATGCTATTAGTTAAGAGGCTAAACTTGCTAAACAAGACAAAATCAACATATTAGAACATGAGTCACAGGTTAGGATTTGTGCGTTTGAATCATGTAAAAATCAACATCTATGATTAAAGTGAACAAAATCGACATATTGAAGTGAATATAGATGTATAATTCTTTATCTTGTTAAATAGACATCTTGGTACAACTTTAAAAAAAAAAAAGGGCATATTCCAGTTTAGAATTACTTATCAACAATGATTAGCATGTTAATCAGACATTCAAGTATAGAACGACCTTATCATCACAACAATGTTCGATTAGCAAACAAGTGCCAAAAGGACTCCGCAAAAGAATTCAATAATCAATATTCATCAATCACACACACACATATCACAAACAGTCATTAGTTGAGCAAGTTAATTTCGACCTATGATGTGCATTTAATTAAAAATGCATACTTGAGCAGTTCGCTTCAAAATGTCACGTATTTAAAAAGTAGGTCATCCATTTTGGATATATGTAGAGGTAGAGAGAGAGAGAGAGAGAGAGAGAGAGAGAGAGAGGAAATTTGAAGAAACAAAAATTGTTCAAAAATACAGAGTACAACTGAGTAAAAACTAATGCAATGTAGAAGTCAATCACACAAGCAGTCTCATACCCTTGTGAAACAGAAAATTTGATAATTGCCAAACATTTTGCTTCAAGTAACTCAATCCCCATCAGTACATGCAATTTTTTAAGGCGGAAATTTTTCTTTAAAACTTGAAACTATCAGCGCCCTACTTAGCAACCAAAGGAATCACATGACTACCACACTTTCTCGAAAGTTCATTAAAACTCACATCATGAATTTTAATTATTCCTGCAGTTAAAAACATTAAATATCTGCTTCTTATTGCCTTTTTTTTCTAGAGTTTAAAATCGCAGAAACTAAAAGTACCTCCGGGCCCCTTATCTCCACATTCGTAAAAGCCTTTACACACATAAAAGGACATGCAAAGAGCTAAAACAACACATCTCAGAAAAGTATTCAAAACAAAGGGATTATTACAAAAAATAGAAAACTGATAAATATCTAACCTTCATCCCAAAATCCCATTAAAAAACATTAAATATTTGCTTCTTATTGCTTTTTCCTTTTTCTTTTTTTTCTCTAGAGTTCAAAAATTGAAGGAACTAAAAGTAGCCCCGAGCCCCTTATCTCCACAATTCGTCAAAGCCTTTACACATATATCAGGACATGCAAAGAGCTAAAACAACACATTTCAGA